AGACCTCATCTCTACAATAAATCAAAAAATCAGCCGGACATGGTAGTGCACGCCTGTAGTTCCAGCTCCTTGGAAGACTGAGGCGGAAGGATCGCCGGAGCCCAGCAAGTCGAGCAGCCACTGCACTCCAGTCTGGGCGACAGAGTGAGACTCCAATTCAAAAAAAACCCCCCAAAACAAAAAAATATATATATATCTCAACAAACCAGTACCGAAGGAATGTACCTCAACATCATAAAGCCATATATGAGAGGCACACAGCTAACACCATACTCAGTGGTGAAAAATGAAACCTTTTCCTCTGAAATCAGAACCAAAGCAAGGATGCCCACTCTTGCCATTTCTACTCAACACAGTACCAGACATCCTAGCGAGAGCAATTAGACAAGAAAAATAAACAAAAAGTGTCAAAATTGGGAAGAAATAAGTTATCTCTGTTTGTAGATGATAAGATGATATCATATGGAGAAAGCTATAAAGACTCCACAACAAAACTGTTAGAACTAATACACAAATTCAAAGTGGCAGGATACAAAATCAATATATAAAAATCAGTTGCATCTCCCCACACCAACAACATACTATCTGAAAAGGAAATTGGGCAGATAATTCCATTTATAATAGCATCAAAAAGAATAAAATACTTAGGAAACATGTAATTAAGGAGGCTAAAGACTGTACACTGAAAACTATAAAACATTGTTAAAAAAAATTAAAGACGATATAAACAAATGGAAAGACATCTGTGTTTGTGGATTATAAGGCTTAATTCACATTGTTAAAATGACCATACTGCTGAAAGCAATTGACAGATTCAACACAGTCCCTATGAAAATCCCAATGGAATTTTTTATAGAAATAAAAAAAAACTATAATTCATATGGAAACACAAAGACCTCAAAGAGTCAAAACAATCTTGAAGAAAAACAAAGCTGGAAGCACCACATCTCCTAATTTCAAAATATATTAAAAAGCAACATGAATTCAAACAGTATGGTACTGGCATAAAGACAGACATATAGACCAACCAATGGAACAGAATACAGAGCCCATAAGTATATTCAAACATACACAGTCAACTGATCTGTATTTAGCACAAGAGTGTCAAGAATACACAAAGGGGCTGGGCATGGTGGCATGTGCCAGCTACTTGGAAGGCTGATGTAGAAGGATCACCTGAGCCCAGCAGGTCGAGGCTGTGGTGGCCATGAGTGTGTCACTGCACTCCAGGCTGGGCAACACAGTGAAACTCTGACTCAAAAAAAAAAAAAAAAATACACAAAGGGGAGAAGATAGATAGTCTCTTTAACAAATGATGTTGGAAAAACTAAACATCCACATACAAAAGAATGAATCTTGGACCCCTATTGTTTACTATATACAAAAGTCAACTCAAAATGGGTTACAGATTTAAACATAAGATACAAAACTGTAAAATTCCTGGAAGAAAACTGAGGAGGAAAGTTTCATGACACTAGCTGTCATTACAGAGTGAGAGTCTTGGCTACAACTTCATGGATATGATAATAAAAGTACAAACAACAAAAGCAAAAGCAGACAAGTGGGACTGCATTAAATGAAAAAGCTTTTGCACAGCAATGGAAATAATTAACAGAGTGAAAAGGCAACCTATGGAATAAGAGAAAATATTTACAAACCATATGTCTGACGGGGGGTTAATTTCCAGAATATATAAGGAACTCTTATACCTCAACAGCAAGAAAACTAACAACCCAATTTAAAAAATGGGCTAAAGACTTGAGCAAGCCGGGCATTACAGACCAGCCTAGGAAACATAACCAAACCTTGTCTCTAACAAAAAGTAAAAAATTAGCCAGATGTGGTGGTACATGCCTATAGTACCAGCTATTTGGGAGGCTGAGGCAGAAGGATCCCCTGAACCTAGGAGGTCAAGGCTATGGTAAGCTACTACTGTAATGCTACTGTACTCCAACCTGTACTACAGAGTGAGACCCCCAACTTAAAAAAAAAAAAGACTTGAACAGACATTTTTCCAAAGAAGACATGCAAATGGCCAACAGTATGTAAGCAGATGCTCAACATCACTAATCATTAGGGAAATGCAAATCAAAATCACAATAAATTATCACCTCACATATGCAGGGATGGCTATTATCAAAAAAATGAAAGGCAATAAATGTTGGCAAGGAAGTAGAGAAATTAAAACCCTTGTACATTGTTGATGACAATGCAAAATGTCACAGTAGGGGTTCCCCCCAAATTAAAAATAGAACTATCATGTGATCCAGCAATCCCACTTCTAGGTATTTACCCAAAATAATTGAAATCAGGATTTTGAAGAGATATTAGCACCCCGATATTCACTGCAGCATTATCCACAGTAGGAAAGATATGGGAGCAATCTATCTGTCTCTTGATGAATGAATGGATAAAGAATATATATGTATAAATGAGTATATACATACAATGAAATATTACTCAACCTTCAAAAAGAAGGAAGTGCTGCAAGACGAGACAGCTTGGATAAACCTTGGAAACATTATTCTAATCGAGATAAGTCAGTCACAAAAGGAAAAATACTGTACTAACTCACTGATATGAGGTGTCAAAAGTAGTCCAACTGATAGAATCAGAGAGTAAAAGGTGGTTACCAAGGGCTGGGGTGGGAGAAGAGAGAAATGGGAAATTGCTTATCAGTGAGCATAAAGCTTCAATTATGCAAGATTACTAAGTTCTAGAGATCTGCTATACACCACTGTGTTATCGTTAACAATATTTCATTGTACATTTAAAATGTTTTTAAGAGTGCAGACCTCATATTAAGTGTTCTTTTCACACACACGCACAAATGACAGCCCCTCTTCTCTCCTTCCTCAATCCTGCTGTCCAGGGCATGTGATGCTCCTGCTGCCATTCTGTGCTGTGAAAATGTGAGTTGGACAGAGATCGCATTTCTGGGAACCATGGAGCTGCTCTACCAGTCCAGGATCCCTTCCTCCACGTTTCTTTTACATGACAAATTTCTATCTTGTTTAAGTCATTCATTTTGAAGTTCCTACTATGGCAGGTGGGGAAAAGAAGTCAAAGTATCTGGCCTACGAGCCTCTGTGTGTGTTGTGGGGGAGAAGTGGGCTAGGGAGCAGGGGGAAATACTCCCAGGGAACACAAAGGAAGGCAAGTACCCTGTCTAATCTCTCCCAACAGGACATCCGTCGGGGTAAACAGACCGGGTGTTGGCAAACTACAGCCCATTGGTCAGCTTTCTGTTTTTGTAAATAAAGTTTCATTGATACAGTTACACTATTTGTTTATGTACAGTCTATGGATGATTGTGTGTTACAATGGCAGAGTTGAGTAATTGTGCCAGAGACCATATAGCCTTCAACGCATAAAATACTTACAGAAAAAGTCTCCTGATACTTGAAATAAACGAATGATCTTTTTTAGGGGGAAGAGTTCTTTTCTATAGAATGCCCTTAGTGAGATATTCCTGGCTATAAAATAGACTTCTTATAGTAAATAAGTCCATAATTTATGAAGCATGGCTTTCTAACAACTGCCACACAAATTGTACAGTTCTCAGGGGTATAAAATGGAGATGTTTCGCGACTTAAATGGTCCCACTGCGTGAGGTAATGACCACCAAATCTCACTTGGAAACTTCATCTGTTGAACTCTCTGTTCCTAACTTTTGTTCTATCCCATTGCTGTCTTTCTTTATTCAGTATTCATGCTATTTTGTTTACTGTCAAGGTAAAGCTGTATGGTTGAAGAACTAAGTAACATCATGCTGACCTTTGTTTTTGATGGATGGCAAACTCATATGTTGTCCTTGGATTTCTCAGTGTGAAGTTATTTAAAATTTGTATTTTTTGTTATGGAGCAGATGTTGCTGCGACCTGGAGCCCCTTGGGTCCTTTTTACACCTTTCTTTGGCTCTACCCCCTAGAACCTACTTTGCCCAAACACAGGGGGCCATACCAGTACCTGGGAATTTGTGGTCCCCAGGATGGCCCTGACCCCTGACTGATGTGTAAGAGGATATGAAGATTCTAGCTCTCTTGTCTGAGGTAGGGACAGTTCTAAGGCACAAACTTCATTCCAGAGTTATTTTGTACAGTCAGGCTAAAGCTACCCTTTGCAGGACTTTTGAGAGCTCAACCCTGGTTGGTTTCCTCACCTTCCTCCCCTACTTCTCCCACTCCCTGGCTGGTTTCCTCTGGGAGCACTTCCTTAATAGTCACTTGCACACAATTCTTTGCCTTAGGATGTGCAGCTGGGGAATCCGACTTACAACACCTGAGGAGAAGTACAGAATTACTATGACATTACCTTTTATAATTGATGTTGAGATTGGCAGTCATGACAATTCCTCCAGCTATAAGAGCACATGTACCAACGGTAGCATCGATCATGGTTGCAATGGCGCCTCCGTGAAGGAACCTAGTTACAACAGGAGTGGAGGAGAAATATTTTCAGAAGTTCTGAAGACAGAGAGCCTCTTGAGAGAGAGAAATTATCCAAGCATCTTCACACAATTTGCTTATGAAAGATCCACTTAGTCTATGTTTAGTGTATTGAATGTTCCCTACTTTATTTTGTTCATAGCGTAGTCTTTTTTTTTTTTTTTTTGAGTCAGAGTCTCACTCTATTGCCCAGGTTGGAGTGCAGTGACTTGCTCACGGCCACCCCAGCATCGACCTGCTGGGCTCAGGGGATCCTTCCATCTCAACCTTCCAAGTAGCCGGAACTATAGGCGTGTACTATCACGCCTGGCTAATTTTTTTGATATATTGTAGAGATGAGGTCTCACCAAGTTGCCCGAGCTGGTCTCAAACCCCTGGGCTCAGGCAATCCTCTCACTTCGACCTCCCAAAGTGCTGGGATTATAGGCTTAAGCCACTGCACCTGCCAACAGTGTAGTCTTAAGCATTTGTAATAAAACCAGAACTTGATTGTAATCAGATCACAAGCAAACAAAAGCCAAAATATAATTTAGAAAATTAATATTACATTTATGTGTTAAACCATACACATTCATTGTTTTAGAAATTTAGGAAATGCAGATAAGCAGAAAAAAAAAACAATTTAAGGCCCATAATGTTACCATCTAGTCAGAGACAAACTACTGTTAAAATGTTAATGATACTCTCTCAAGTGATACTCTATTGCCCTATGTTCTATAATAATATATGATGTATGTTCTTTAATGTATTAAATATTTAACACATATTAACAACACTCTTGTCCTTTAACAATATACACATCTTTCTGTGTCAGTAAGCAGTACACATCCACAGTACTGTCAGAATGCCTTCGTTGTAGCCCATGGACACACGGGGGCGCTATAAGACAAAAATCTTTCACATCTGCATTTCTACGTTGTCATTCTTACCCAGGTGCTCCTTGCAGGTAAGGACCTCCTTGAAACAAGCAAACTACCCTTTGCTCAACATCATTATAGAACATCACATATTCAAAGCCCAAGCCATCCTCAAGGCTTCTGGTGAAGAGCTGGGCCTGTGACGTTAGTTCTTTTGAAAGCTTTGGGCCTGTAGGAAAATGAAGATGGACGCATGAGAAACAAGAATGAGAGAAATGCCATGACAGAGGCAACACTTGTACCCTACTGGAATCACATGCCAATGGAGGACTGATCAAAATGTCAACGGGAGAAAAAAAATGTCAACTGGGCACAAAATTTAAAGAAATGGGAGGGTCCCAGAGAAACAGCATATAGGATCTTTGCCCCTGTAGAATTAACAGTCTAACTGGGAACAGAGTAAACTTACATGAAATCAAAACAAAATATTTGCTCACACGTGGCAACCAGGAAATACAACATATAAATGTTGACGGTATGTTGAATAAAATGGTAAGGTATAGAAATAAATCCTTAGAATAAACGTGGTTTAAATACATTTTTTGTTTGTTTGTTTTCATACTGCCAACCAGGCTGGAGTGCAGTGACACAAATACGGCTTACTGTAGCCTTGAACTTCTGGGCTCAGGTGATCCTTCTACCTCAGCCTCCTGAGTAGGTAGGACTACAGGCACATGCCACCATGTCTGGCTAATTTTTTAATTTTTTTGTAGAGACAGGGTCTTGCTATGTTGCCTAAGCTGGTCTCGAATTCCTGGGCTTAAGCAATCCTCCCACCTTGGCCTCCCAGAGCGGTAGGATTATAGGTGTGAGTCACCACATTGGGCCTAAATGCAATTTAAAGAAAAAGAAAAATGTAACAGAAAGAGGTTGTCTTGGCAGACATGAGTTTAGCCTGCCAGTTTTACTGAATCAGAAACAGGGCCAGTTCAGCCTAATATGCAGTATGATTGTGACTCTTAAGGCCCCAGACAAGGAGTTAGAACCATTAGGGTTCATGAGATCAAATTAGTGGGCTGTAACCACTAATTTATAAAAGAAAGAGAACACTTCCCATACATCCTGGTTACGCACTACTTGTTTAGACTTTTTTCACATACACAACTGTGAACAAGTTCGGGGTACAGGGTTGAGGCAAAATATAGGCCACTTCAAAACAAAGACTGAAGCTGCTGCTCTAAAGGAAGGGTGCACTGTCCTACACATCTATTTTAAAAGTGAATCCCTCATACTCTTAGCTTTCTTTCACAGCTTCACCAAATATAAAACTGTCTACATTTCTTCTGCATCTACCGAATTTGCATTTTCAAACTTGGAAAAGGATATGAGATGAGAAGATCTGGGAGGACAGGGAGATGCCTTCTACTCAGGCCATGAGCATCCAGGGCAGTCACCTGTCTATGAGACTTTGTTTGCCCAACAAATGGCACAGATACATACTATAGGTACCCAAGCAGTTGTTGAGTACGTTAATGATTTAGAAAGCCAGACAAAGAAACTTAAAATCGGCATCAGTATTATGGTATAGTGGAAAGAACCTTAGCCTGTGAGTTGGGAAGATTAAATTCTTGGCCTAGCTCTGGCTTAAAACCTGCTCTTTTGCTCCATGCTTTATCCATACAACAAGGAAATAAAGCTAAATGACCTCCAAGACCTTTTCAAACTCTGACATTCTGATACTTCAGGATAAGACAAGCATCAAGCCCTTTTCTAATTTTCTACTTAGAAAAGAAGTTCAAAATTTCTAGTCTAGATTACCAAATCTTAATCGTATCTCATAACAGTGAGAAAAATAAGGATAGGGAAACAAGTTTGTTAGAAATGCAGACTCTCAGGATCTCCTCTGACCTACTGAAGCAGAACCTGCATTTTAAGATTCCCAGGTGCTTCATATTCATTTTAAAGCCTGCAAGTCACTAGTCTTTTAAGACACGAGATGACATTGAAGGTAGCTGAGAAGTAACAAGATGAGATTTGCATTCTGAATCAAGGGCTTTAGGAAGATAAGAACGGAGGCAGGAGATGACAGTATAAAATTACCATCACCAAATCCGCTAGATGGAGCATTTCTCTAGCGATGCTTATTACCAGAGGGCCTATGCAAAGAAAAGATGGCAGATGGTTTGATTCATCCAGGGCTGGGGTTTTCCTAGGTTAAGTGGGCAAGAGAAGTTCAGTCAGAAGAGGACTATAGGACAAGGAGAAAGTAAAGAACTCTGTGAATTGAAGGTCTTACGGAGATCAAAGAATTGTTTCTGAGGGGCCTTTGAAAAAGTGAGCTAGAAGGGAAAAGGCTGTGGTCAAAAAATAGGATATCCATAGGAGTAGGCAACGAATTCATGATCAAGTCCCCAAAAGAAAATGCAACAAAAGCTAGGATAGACAGGTGGGACCTTATCAAACTGAAAAGCTTTTTACGCAGCAAAAGAAACCATCAAGAAAGTAAAGACACAGCCCATGGAATGAGAAAAATATCTGCAAGCTATGCATCTGACAAAGCCTTAACATCCAGGATCTACAAGGAACTCAAATGAACAGAAAGGAAAAATACAAACAACCCCATTAAAAAGTGCGCAAAGGACATGAACAGACACTTCTCAAAGTGTGACATACAAGTAGCCAACAGACACATGAAAAACTGTTCAGCCAAATCATCATAGATATGCAAATCAAAACTACAATGAGATACCACCTAACTCGGGTAAGTATGGCTATCACTAATGAGTCAAGAAACAACAGGTGCTAGCATGGCTGCAGAGTAAGGGGAATGTTTCTACACTTTTGGTGGGAGTGTAAGCTAGTTCAACCTCCATGGAAAACAGTGGGCGGTTTCTCAGAGAACTAAAAATGGGGCTTTCATACAATCCAGCAATCGCTTTTCTGGGAATATACCCAGAGGAGCATACGTCACTCTACAAAAAAGATACCTGCACATGCATGTTTATTGCCGCACTATTCACAATAGCAAAAACATGGAACTGATCTAGATGCCCATTAAAAGTGGACTTGATAAAATGTGGTACATATATATGATGGAATATTATGCAGCCATAAAGAACAAAATCATGGCCTTCATTGCAACTTGGATGCAGTTGGAGACCACCACACTAAATGAACTGTCACAGAAACAAAGAACAGAATACCGCATGTTCTCACTCATAAGTGGGCCCTGAACACTAGTCACATTAGAACAAGAAGGGGATCTGCGGTCACCAAGCACTGCTACAGAAGGGAGAGAGGAGGGAGCAGGAGGGGGGCACATGGCAACACAATGGATACCTGGTCCACTACCAGAGGGAGAGAGGGCCAGCTAGAAGCCCAAACTTCACCTGCATGTAGCCTACTTATATAGCAAATCCTCACTTGTACCCCACAACTCTAAAGTTAAATTAAATTTTAAAAAACCCAGGAAAGCCGGGCTCGGTGGCTCAGCCTGTAATACCGCACCTTGGGAGGCTGAGGTGAGTGGATTGCCTGAGCCCGCGGGTTCAAGACCTGCCTGGGCAACTTGGTGAGACCTCATCTCTACAATAAATCAAAAAATTAGCTGGGCGTGGTAGCGTGCGCGCCTGTAGTTCCAGCTAAGTGGAAGGCTGAGGCGGGAGGATCGCTGGAGCCCAGCAGGTTGAGGCTGCTGTGGCCGGGAGCGGCCACTGCACTCCAGTCTGGGCGACAGAGTGAGACTCCAACTCAAAAAAACAAAAACAAAAAAACAAAAAAACCCCAGGATGTCCAGATGTGTGCATTTGGAGGTTGTGCACTTTCTAAAGAAGATAAGGCTCAAGATTTTCATGGGAGTGTGTGGCTGGGGCTGGAAGAAAGAAACGCTCATAGATGATGAGGAAACAAATCAACCGAGGAGCCACTGCGCAGATGCTGGAGTTGCTGAGATGGTGAATGGAGTTGGGAAGAGGGGAAGATGGTTGACCAGCTGCTAAAATCCCCAATACTGAGAGAGAAACAAGGAAGGGAACAAGAGGAGGGTGATAGAGTCAGATGGTATAAACCTCAGAAACACAGAGGTTTCTGAGTGAGAGGTAATGGTTTCGAAGCAATGACGGTAGCAAAGAGAACCTCAAACTCCTCTTGATTCTGGGAGGTGAAGTTCAGTCAAGAGGGGGTGGGGATGCACAGGGGAATGAGCAAAACCGTGGAAATGGAACCCTGGAAAACACTGACATTTAAGGAGCAGGGAGAAGGAGGGAAGACTGGTCTGAAAAGTCTATGAAAGCCAACAAAGAAAAAAGTTTCAAAGAGAAGGAGACCGCCAAGTTAATCCAGTATAGTAAGGGCTGAACAATGCCCACTGAATTTGACCCTCAGGTCACCAGTGGCTTCAGGGAAGACATTTCCACAGAGCTGCTGGAGTAGAAGCCAAAGTGAAGACATTCAATTAATTGTGTGATGTGGCAGTAGCTGGAATGGAATTAGTAATACAAATTACTATTTCATTTTCCTTTCTCCTAAAATATAGGAAGGTCAGGCATGGCAGCTCACATCTGTAATCCTAACACTTTGGGAGGCCAATGTAGGAGGCTCATTTGAGCCCAGGAGTTTGAGACCCACCTGGGCAACATAGCAAGACCCCATCTCTAAACAAAAATAAACAAACAAACGAAAGACCACAACAAAACCAAATTAGCTGGTCATTGTGGTGTATACCTGTAGTCCCAGTTACCCAGGAGGCTAAGGTGGGAAGATTGCTTGAGCCTAGGAGGTCCAGGCTGTGGTGAACCATGACTGTGTCACTGCACTCTTCCCTGGGTGACAGAGCTAGACCTTGTCTCAAAAAATAAAATAAAATAGGCTGGGCGCAGTGGCTCATACCTGTAATCTCAGCACTTTGGGAGGCTGAGATGGGAGGATTACTTGAGCTAAGGTGTTTGAGACCAGGTTGAGTAACATAGTGAGGCCGTATCTCTACAAAAAAATTTAAAAAGTTAGCTGGGCATGGTGGCATGGGCCTGTAGTCTCAGCTACTTGGGAGACTGAGTCAGAAGGAGCGCCTGAGTCCAGGAGGTTGATGCTGTGGTAAGCTGTGATCATGCCACTGCACTTTAGTGTGGGTGACAGAGTGAGACACTGACTCAAAAACAAACAAATAAATATGGATAAATAAAATAGAATATTAATTCTCTATATATCAGAGATTTTGCAAAGAAACCTAAGAACTTTGCCATTTTTTTATTGATTAAACATTTCAAATTACAGTTTAGTTATTTTTTTAATTCACTCTTCCAGCAAATACTAAAGTATCTACCATGAGGAAACAGAGGCACAGAAAGGTAAAGTACCTTGCCCAAAGTCACACAGCTTTAAATTGTGGAATCTGAATTTGAACCCAGGCACTAAATTTCAACAATTAAATTAGGAAGCCGGCAGCTCTTCCATGCCCTCTAAGGCCATGAGATTACCAATGGAGAATACAAAAGAAATGAGTACTAAGGACTGAGACATGGGAGCACTCTGACATTAAGATTTTGAGGATGAGAAGGAACCAGCACAAGAAACTGAAAAGGAGGGACCAACGAAGTGGGGAGTGTGGTGTCCTGGAAGCCAACTTCAAGGAGAAGGGAGTTACCAGCTATGCCAAAAGCTGAGCAAAGTTACTGGCTTTAGCAACACGAGGGTCACTGGTGCCCTTGGCAAGAGTAGTTCTGATGCAGTGGAGTGGGAGAGCACCCCACTGGGGTGGGCTCAAGAGAGACTGAGAAGAAAGAAATGGGTTGTGGCACTCCTGTGTGCTGACCAGAAACATCTAGCAGAGAGAGGTGCCCTTCATTGGGTCAAAAGGGATGGGATGCTGTGCAAGAACGGAGAGCTTGGTCTCCCCTAAGAATATGGAAAGTTCATTTGTAGCAGGAAGAAGCAGAACATCCGGTGCAGATGCAGGCGGAAGGTACATAAGGCAGTGGAAGTGTGGAAGTTTCCTTCTGATTGCTTATATTAGCTCTAAGCGAAATGGGAAGTGAGATCAGCTGAAAGTGAGAATGGAAAAGACGGTATTAGAGGCGTGAGAAGAAAGAAAAGGGCAGAAAGCGATCATCCAGGAGGGAAATAAGAAATATGGTCATCAGACAACAGTAAGGGCCTCAAGGTCGTTTTTACAAAACCAAATACTAAAAGATGGGTTTAGATGGTTAAAAGATAGTAACTCAGAAATATCTGTGAAACGATTCAGTATGATACTATAATGATGGTTATGTCATTATACATTTGTCAAACCCATAGAAAACAACACGAAGAGTGAACCCTGGCTGGGCTCGGTGGCTCAGCCTCTAATCCCAGCACTTTGGGAGGCAGAGGTGAGTAGACTGTCTGAGACTACTGGTTTGAGACCAGCCTGGGCAATTTGGTGAGACTTCAGCTCTATAATAAATAAAAAATTAGCCGGGTGTGGTAGTGCGTGTCTGTAATTCTGGCTACTTGGAAGGCTGAGGTGGAAGGACTGCCAGAGCCCAGCAGGTCGAGGCTATGGTGGCCATGAGCGTCCCACTGCACTCCAGCCTGGGCGATGGAGTGAGATTCCAACTCAAAAAAAAAAAAAAAGAGTGAACCCTACAAACTATAGACTTTGGTTAAGAATAATGTATCAATATTGGCTCATCAGTGGTAACAGATATACCGCAGTAATGTCAGATGTTAATAACAGAGGAGAAATTAAGGGTGGAGGGGGTAAGGGAACTCTCTTTACTTTCTGCTTATTTTTCTGTAAAACTAAAACTGCTTTAAAAAAGTGTATTGATTTTAAAAAGAAAAACAAAAACAGAAGCATAGGAAATTCAATATGTTTGTGATGGGTGCAGGATGGGTTATTGTCTTGGGGCTTTAGAGACTGGAAGATGAGGGGGTGATCTGAGTGTTCTAAGCCTCTTAGGGTGATATAGCTAGATATTGGGATAAAGGGCGAAATGAGATTAGATGATGTTGACACACAGGTGATGAGGTTGTGGGAGGGTGGGGCTCTCCAGGGCCCCTTTTTCACTCCTGCCAATGGTGACGAGAATCCAGGCTTCATAATAGGTTTTATGCTTTCCAACAACATGGCTCACCACAACCTCAACCTTCTAGGCTCAGGTGACCCTTTCGCCCCCAGTCCCCCAAGTAGCTGGGGCCACAGGCATGTGCTACCACGCCTGGCTAATTTTTTTTTTTTTTTTTGAGTTGGAGTCTCACTCTGTTGCCCAGACTGGAGTGCAGTGGCCGCTCCCAGTCACTGCAGCCTCACCTGCTGGGCTCCGGCGATCCTTCTGCCTCAGCCTTCCGAGTAGCCGGAATTACAGGCGTGCGCTACTACGCCCGGCTGATTTTTTTTTTGTTTTATTGTAGAGATGAGGTCTCGCTGCCCAGGTGGGTCTCGAACCCGCAGGCTCAGGCAATCCACTCACCTCAGCCTCCCAAAGGCGTGGGATTACAGGCTGAGCCACTGAGCCCGGCCTGGCTAATTTTTTAAAAAAATTTTTTCGTAGAGATGAGATCTCACTTTGCAACCCAGACTGGTCTCTAACTCATGGGCTCAGGCAATCCTCCCACCTTGGCCTCCTAAAGTGCTGGGATTACAGGTGTGAGCTACCACGTCTAGACTGCAAAATTGACTGAGATTTCTGGACTACAGACCTATACTCCTGTATTATATTCCTCCATTTTTAAAACAATAACTAGTACTTTGTCTATTCTTAGTATTATATTTGATATTCAAATATTATTAAAGGGAAAGTGGCTATTTCTACCAAGATAAAGAGTCTTGAAGTCTTGAGCCCTTCGAGAAGATTCACTTTTATATGAAGGCAAACGTTTCCAGGAGCCATCTTCACATTTCTTCATGAACTGATCAAAGAGGAGTCTTATGTCCTTGTTCCAGCTGGGGTTGGGGAGAGAACAGTCCTTAGGAACCACTTTCTCAGAAGAAAATGATCTCTAAAAGATAGAAGAAAAAGAAGAGTATTGAGAAGTACATCCTATTTCATAACATATTCTCCCATTTCTTAAGACTATCTTGCTGCTTTTCTTTTTCCCAGAAGTTTGTCATTTCAAAATGGAAGAAAATTTCAAGGATCACCCAGTCCAACCTCCTTGGAAAAAATGAGAGATTAAGAGAAGGTAAATAACATGACCAATGTCACCCAGCTAGCTATTGGTGGCAGACCCAGCATTATGCCCAGGTCTGCTGATTCCATTCTTTTTCTCAAACTCTAATCAAGTACGGGTAAACCAGGCACAGTGGAGACAGAGATGAAGGACAAACGTTCTCTTCTTTGTAAAAAGAGCTACCAGTGGGGTATGCACAGCAAGTTAGAGGATAAGGGAGAGATATTCATCTCCAGGTGGGGGTTCAGGAAGTTCTTTGACCTGAATATTAATTAGACAAGTAGAAATAAGCCATTTGAAAAGAGTTTTATAGGTAAAGGAACACCACGTACAAAAGTAAAGAGGCATGAAACAGTTTTAAGGGGCCTTTTACAACTATGTGAAGTAAGTACTAATTATTATCCCCATTTTACAGAGGACGAAATGAAGGCCTAAAGGAAGTTCAACATTGTCATTGTGCAAAAGTAGGAGCAGATGGCTGTAAAAATGTATGCAAAACCTCAACACCAAGCTACCTGGTTTGAATTGGATCTGCAGTTCTCTGAGGGATTTTAAACTGAGAGAGACATGATCAGATCTGTCCACAATATGAAAGAGAGTGAGAATGTCCCAGACTGGAATCAGAGGGCCCTGTGTGGAGGCTGTTTATCAGGTGAGAAATTAAGAGAGCATGAAACAGAAATTGGTAACTACTTGGATAAGGAAAGTAAGGGAAAAGGAGAAATGCAAGGGCCAATTCCAGGTCTCTGAATCCTCCACTGAGGTGAATGACAAACCCAATTACCAAGAAGGAGAATATAAGAAAAAGAGGAGAAAGAGGTTCGAGGACAAATGTTTGATGTCTTAGTAACCCCAGCCTCCACCCATGCTATTCCTCTACAGCATGGAGCACTGCTACGGTTCCAGGGATTAGGCAACAACTCCAACATTGCCAGGGCCCTAGAGGACCTGGTAGGCAAAGTGTGACCTACTAAGGAACAGAAGAAAGCAAAGCCTCACAGATAACAGATAGAAAAATGAATTCTATAGGATCCCTGCAGAAACCATGGGAACATTCAGGATCACAGAGGCTATGAACTCTGTGGCATTCTACTTCTAGCCACCCTTATCAATTTCTTCAGATTTATGTTCCTACAACACTTGGACCATACCATGAAACAAAACAGGAAGATTGTACTTACTATGATAGAAGAACCAGTCTTTCACTGACACCTGGGTTAGCTCCTAGCCTGGCCTGATTGGAAGAATATAGGGAACCTGCCTCAAGAACTCTGTGGAAATAAAACCTTTCTGGCTGAACAAAAGGAAATCCTGACTTTGTGGTACCAGAGAGTTGGGGAAACATGAACAGGGGTGAGGTCATTCTTCCCTTAGCCCGGGATTTATAACTTTGTTTGCTATGCTTTTTTTTTTTTTTTTTTTATTGACTCATGTCTTCAGAACCCAACTCAGAAAATTTGGGAAAGAAAGAAAAAGAGAAATTTTAAACCCTGCCCATCAGCCCTTCTTCATACAACTAATGGTAAACATTGATGTATTTCCTCCAACTTTTTATTATTTTATTTTATTTTTGAGTCACAGTCTCACTCTTTCACCCAGACTGGAGTACGATGGCACGAACACAGCTACCATAGCCTCCACCCGCTGGGCTCAGGTGATCCTTCCTCCTCAGTCTTCCAAGTAGCTGGGACTACTGGTGCATGCAACCATGCCCAGCTAATTTTTTTATTTATTGTAGACGAGGTCTCACCAAGTTGCCCAGGCTGGTGTTGAACCCCTGGGCTCAGGCAATCTCTTGCCTCTGCCTCCCAAAGTACTGGGATTACAGGTGTGAGCCACTGCACCTGGCCCTCCAAGTTCTTTAAATGTAATTTTTCTTAATGTACTTGTAATCAGTCAGATGCAGTGGCTCACGCCTGTAATCCCAGCACTTTGGGAGGCAGAGGCAGGAGGATTATCTGAGCCCAGGAGTTCAGGACCAGCTTGGGCAACTTGACAAGACCTCATCTCTATAATAAATCAAAAAAATTAGCTGGGCTTGGTGGCATGGGCCTGTAGTCCGAGCTACTCAGGAGGCTGACGTGGAAGGATCTTCTGAGCCCAGCAGGTTGAGGCTGCAGTGGCCGTGAGCATGCCACTGCACTCTAGCCTGGGCAACAGAGTGAGATTCTGACTTAAAAAAAAAAATAGCCAGGCTCGGTGGCTCAGCCTGTAATCCCGTGCCTTTGGGAGGCTGAGGTGAGTGGATTGCCTGAGCCCGCGGGTTCGAGACCTGCCTGGGCAACTTGGCGAAACCTCATCTCTACAATAAATCAAAAAATAAGCTGGGCGTGGTAGTGCGCGCTTGTAGTTCCAGCTCCTTGGAAGGCTGAGGCAGAAGGATCGCCAGAGCCCAGCAGGTCGAGGCTGTGGTGGCCGGGAGCGGCCACTGCACTCCAGTCTGGGTGACACAGTGAGACTCCAACTCAAAAAAAAAAAAAAAAAAAAAAAATGCACACAGGCACACACATGTGTAATCTTGGTAAAAAACACTCTGCTTTCTGCTTTCACCACTTGAAATTATTTACTGTTCACTTTCTCCTTAACCTCAGTTATCACCATTTTCAGCAACAGAAAAAGTCCTTTAAATTGATGTGCTATACTTTAGTTAGCCATTTAAATTGGTCATGTAAATTATTTCCAATCTTTTGCTGTTCTAGATGAAAAATATTCATTGGAACATTATGAATATAGATTTTACTCTATTTTAGATTATTTCCTTAGAGTCCAGTTCCAATTGTGTAGCTTTATTTATTTATTTAAGTCAGAGTCTCACTCTGTTGCCCAGGCTGGAGTGCACTGGCATACTCGCGGCCACTGCAGTCTCGACCTGCTGGGCTCAAGCCGTCCTTCTGCTTCAGCCTTCCAAATAGCTGGAACTACAAATGTGCGCCACCACGCCCAGCTAATTTTTTGATGTATTGTAGAGATGAGGTCTTGCCATGTTGTGGGATTACAGGCATGAGCCACCGTGCCTGACCCAGTTGTGTAGCTTTTAAAGTCAATGAATTCTAGAAGTAAACCAAAAAACACGACTCATCACAGATTAGTATGTATTGACCAGTACATGTCAATTGAGAGGTAGATTGACCAATACATGTCAATTGAGAGGTAGAATCGGCTTTAGGGTCACAAATTGGAGCTCATTTTGTCCACAGGTCTCATCTTTAATAGGCAACACCAGGATTGGTCAGCTTCAGCATCCTTTTATGGATCAGTGAAATCAAGCTAATTGAAGATTTTCAGGAATTAGAATGACTCCCTTAACTATGGGCTCTTCTAACTGATTTAAACTTTTAAAGTCTGTGATTCAGCTAAATTCAACAAAATTTCTGAGCTCCACTATACATCCTGGCTCTATGCCAGAGACAGATAAAACAAAGAGAGAAGACTTAGGTTCTCCTTCAGGTGTCAGCAACTTTCAATGGGAAAAATACTGCAAAATAAGTAGATACAGACACAGAAGGAGTGACTTTCAGGGGAAACTTCAAAATGATGGTGTGATTTCTTAAGGATAAAAAGTTCAATAAGGGGAGAATGGAAAGGCTGCTCCAAGCAAAAGCACAGAGTGATGAAACTGCCGTGTGACATCCTGGGGAACAGCTAGAATTTCAGCCTTCACAGTGTAAGGTGCACAGAGAAAAGCAGCAAGATGTGGTTGCAAAGCAAAAGGGAATCACGCCAGAGACGGCGAGAACTTGAACTAAGTAGAGGAATGAGAATAAGAGTTCTAATATATTTAGGACGTTGGGCCTAAGGGGTGTGGGAAATTCCCAACGGTGTGAAAGAGGAAGTGGAAGGGTCTCAGATGATTCCCAAGTTGTGGACAGAAGGAAAAGAAAGAGGAGGTTTTTGTTAGTGTGCGAGTGTAGGTCAGGAGGGAGAAAACAGTAGTGGAACTATTCATTTTAGTTGGAGGCCTGTTGAGTTTTTTCCCACAGATGGACATTATGATCAAGTGGGAAATAAAGGTTCAGTTAAAGGAAGTGAGAACTAAGAGATATTTTAATGCACCTGTAAATTCACAACACAGACTATATATGAAGGATAAATGTTAGGGATAATCATTAACTTTTGTTGTCCTGAGGAGAGAAAAGTCTTGCTTGATCTTTGGTTATACATTTACAAAATGGGACTTGTTAAAAAAAATTGTGACTCTTTTTATGTAGCTCCTTTTAAGTTTCTAAACACAAAGAAACATGACTTACAAAGCCTGTAAATACCTAAATAGTCTCAGCACAGATTACAAGGCACCAACATATAATTAAAGAAATGAATTCATCTTTGTTGTAAGATTAGCATAAACCATTTTCTTTTCTAACGTGCAAGCTGGTACAGGATTAGTGACTAATCTGCCTTCATTATTTTTTTTTTTGAGTTGGAGTCTCACTCAGTCGCCCAGACTGGAGTGCAGTGGCCGCTCCCGGCTACCGCGGCCGCGGCCTCGACCTGCTGGGTTCCGGCGATCCTTCTGCCTCAGCCTTCCAAGTAGCCGGAACTACAGGCGCGCATGACCACGCCCGGCTAATTTTTGATTTGTTGTAGAGATGAAGTCTCGCCAAGTTGCCCAGGCGGGTCTTGAACCTGATTCATTATTCTTTGAAAGAAAGCTGAAATAGCTTAATAGAGACACTATACTCATTGACTTTATTATAGTCCTCTTTTAGTTATTACTCCATATAGAGCTGTTCCTTTAGTGCTTTATTATAGACTATAAAACACAGATATTTTATTTTTGCAATTTCACTCCTGTTAAATACAATTTACAGGAGGCCATTGGTTTGGTCCAA